CAGACCAAGGGAGAAACGCAGTTCACGGAACATTATAGCAGGTGCCAAAGTGCCGTTAGTTCATCGGGGTCATCTGATTTCCAGACCCAGAAGGATTCCGGCGTTGTTTTCACATCCAGCTCAGCCTGCACTGTCCTCTACAACTCAGTGGTCCCCTCCCTTGGGGAATAGGCAATCCTTGCTTTTCGCTCGGGGCTCTTGGTTCAAGCCTTGTGGTTCACTGCAGTCAAGCTTTTCTGAGTGCTGTAGACAAGCTGATGGGAGAGAATATTTTCAAAAATCACATAGGATCTTTTAGCCTGGACCTACAAATAACTATGAACTGCTTTCCGAAGGAGCAAAGGCCAGTACGTGAATAGGATCCTCTTTTTACTGCTCTTACCTGGATTTGTTCAGAGCAGTTCAGGCACATTGTACAGCAAAATAATCACCACTTTTTGGGCGTTACTTGTATGTTTAATGGGTGACACTGAGGTCCACCCAAGATTCCTGTCTTGCCTTTCTTTCTGCTGTTCCTCGGACTTCCTGGTTGTGTCGTATGGTATGGAAGGAGCTGATGCTAAGGGAAAAAGAGATGCTTTTATAATGTGTTCTACCCTTCTGCTCCGATTGGCAGAGAAATATTCAAAACTTTTCAAATATTTATGATCAATCCTTAATTATAAGTTCCAGTGGAGGCATCAGCACCTGGCCATATTTATGATCTTTTCAATGGAACTTTAGCACCATAATAAAGTTAGGGGTGTGCACCAGGGTAGGCTTAGGGTTCAAAAAACGCGGGGTGCTGGCATGATTTTGATGGTTGGAATGTGTTTAGAATGGGCAGAAATGGAGAGCTGTGCAATAGAAGCTACTCAAGGAAGGCTTTTTCAACATCACCCTCTTTTCAGGGGAACTTTAGCCCTTCGGGTTAGGCGAGTGCACCAGGGTAGGGTTAGGCCAGTGGTGGTGAACCTATGACACACATGCCACAGTGGGCACAGAGAGTCCTCTCTGTCGTCACGCGAACTAAGTCGCCCCAGCCTCGCCCCAGCAGCCAAGTATTGGATAACAGCCCACATAGGGGCCATATCTGCTTGGACTGGCGGTGAGTTGTTTTTTGTAAAGAAAACCTCAGTTTTCAGGTTTTATTGTAGTGTTGTCACTATGCGATAAATAAGTGGGTTTTGGGTTCAATTTGGCACTCGGCTTCTGAAAGGTTCACCATCACTGTCCTAGGCTATCCTCCCCTATACTGGTGCCCTCTAAATGTTTTGAACCACCACTCCCATCAACCCCAGCCCACCTGGTCAATGGTCACACATGCACACAGTGGTCACACAAGTTTAGATACAATTGTCTATAGGCAGCCAGGATGGGGAACCCAGGCATATGGACCTGGGAAGAGAGGATGGAGACACAAGGCATAGAAATGGCACACAGTTCAGCACCTGGCAGCACAGTTCATGGGAATCTCCATTATGAGGGCCCTGGCAGTCCACTTTTCCTCTGCACGGATTATCCTTATCCCAAAGTTTCCATCATAGTTTTGTTTCCATTTTGGAAAAGCCTTCCCTGAGTAGCGTTTTCTGTGCAGCTCATCATTTCTGCCCATTTTAAACACATTTCAACCATCACAATCATGCCAGCACCCTTTGTTTTTTGAACCCTAACCCTACCCGGGTGCACACCCCTAACCCTAATACAGGGCTAAGGTTCCATTGAAAAGAGGGCTATTTTGAAAAAGCCTTTCCTGAGTAGCGTTTTCTGCGTAGCTCATCATTTCTGCCCATTCTAAACACATTCCAACCATCAAAATCATGCCAGCATTCCTCGTTTTTCGAATCCTAACCCAGTGATGGTGAACCTTTTAGAGACTGAATGTGCAAACTGCAACCAAAAACCCTGTTATTTATCGCAAAGTGCCAACACTAGAATAAAACCTGAAAACAGCCAGTCCAAGCAAATTTATATAAATGTCCTTGACAGCGCCCTGAATGGCCATGAATAAACTCCAACAAGTTGCCACTCATATGTTGCAGCTTGTGAGGTCATCGCCTGGCACCACAACTCTTTCTGAGCTTGCACATGGCCGCTATGTCTACTGTCATCCAATGCTTGGCTGCTGGGGCGATGCTGGGGCAACTTGGCTCGCTCGCCGGCAGAGAGGGCTCTGGGTGCCTGCTGTGGCACGTGTGCCATAGGTTCGCCATCACTGGCCTAAGACGTAGCAATGCTTTTCCGGCCCTCCAACTCCCCGTATAATCTCCATCTTTCTGTCTGTCTGTCTGTCTGATGATGCTTTAGTCCATGTGGTCAAACCGAGGCGTGGGAGCGACTTGCAGTGCTGAGTTTATTTTGTGGCTTGCTGCTGCGGCACCCACAGGTGCGCAGTTGCCCAGTGCTGCCTGCAGGCACCCAGTTGTGGCTCCCAAACAGCTGATATTTACCACGTGTGGCTTTTCCATTGAGCAAGTCTGACCACCCCTCTTCTGGTATATATAAATTCATTCCTCAAATCAGTTTACCTTCATAAAATACCAGAAAACTGCTTTTAAAAATGTCCCTTTGATACACTTTTCTGAATTTCTGCTAAATTGGTTGTTTGTCACTTGGCAGAGTTAAATAATTTCAGCAAAATTGAAGGGGATGGAACTCACCTTTGCCCGCACATTTTGCTTTCATACCATCTTCTCAAGGTGTAAACTGATGGGTAGGGCTTCTATAAATACCAACTTTTACACAATCTGGGAGCTCTGAAAGAGCAAAACAACCTTGTCTCGGCTAATGAGATTGAAGAAAGATAGGTTTGTTTCATAATCTGTTTTCTTTATGAATGAGATTAAAGCGTGCTTTTTATGGTTGTGCTGCCAACAGTGATGTGATCTCGAGGGGAAACTATGAACTTAGTTCCACCTAGATTGTATTATACACTGAATTCCTTGCAGGCCTTTTTGTTTTTACATAGCAAAGACAGGGAGTGTACTGGCATGCAATCTGTATAGAAAGTAATATAAATTTTCCTTCTTGGTTTATATTCCTCAGCTGTTAGGAGGAAAGGATAATTGGTTGGGATTTGTCTTCTTCAGCTGTCTTCCCACTTTCTTTTGATCATTTTTCTTTAAAACTAATCCACAGTATATCTCCTGCATTACATCACAATACCATCTTTATGATATACATAGTTTTTAGCACGTTTGGCACATTTATGCTTTTATTGCACCAGTAGGAAACTTGTGGGGCTCCTAATGTTTGGCTTGTAGCTTCCAGGATTCCTTACCATTGGCAAAGTGGCAGCTAGTGTTGATGGGAGTTGCAGGGCAAAACATTGGGAGACCCCAGGTTGGCTACTTCTCTTTTTGTGGTGTGTGCTTTTTCTTTTATTTTCTATTTATTTTTTTGAAAGCATGCCCACTTCTTTTTAAAAGTAAGCTGTGAACAGACCCATAGTAACACTAGTAGGTTAAGCTGGAGATTCAACAGGCTGTGATGGTGAAGGGGTCAGGATTTTTGAACCCGGAATGGGGGAAAATGAATATATTACAGCAGCCTTAGCCAGCAAACTGGTATTTTGAAATTAATGGAACTTACTTCCAGGGTAACATACTACTGTGCATGTCAACTTAGTATTTAGCATAGGTAAAGACTTATTGATGAAGGATAAAGGATACTGGCAGAGGAAATGGACGGCTGGCATGTGACATGAACAAGAACTTGTGCTAGTAAATTGAAGATGGACCCCTCACCCCATTAATGAACATTCCTGGATTGACATACTTGGGAGATTATTACTTTCTGGAACCTTAACTGACCTGACAACTTCAAAAGCTGTGTGTGTGTGTGTAATCCCTGATTCAGTTCCGCTAACAACCTTTGTGTGACATGTGTTGGAATATTGGCTGCAAGCATAACAGATACGTGATTCACTATTCAAGAACGTTTAGTTGCTTGTTTGCTACAGTCCAACATGTCCGTGCCTTGTAGTACCTGGTCTTCATTTCAGAGTTTGCAGTGTGATTCATCTGTCCAGAGTAAACAAAGCACGCTTGAAATTAATGAACTGCATGCTATAGAGAAGGCTTGGTTCTCTATTTTACTGCTCCTGAATTCCCATGTTTTCATCACTGCGTGTCTTGCTCATTCCTAAAACTGCTTTGCAGTTCTTCTGGAAAATTACTTGGTGTAGCCAGTCTCTTGGATGTTGTTCACACCATCAGCAAGGCAAAGTTTGGCTGGGAAGCTTTAAAGGCCATTTGTTTCTCCGGGCTTGGTTGAGAACCTCTCTGGGTGTGATGGTCCCTTGCAGTCATGCAGACTTCTCTTTTGGATTGCAGTGTCAGTTAAAATCTCTTCATCACAACTACCTCGTACATCCCCATCTTTGTCTCCTTCCCTTCTAAGGGGAGTGCGGGTGGGAGGCGATGCTCCCGCTCCCCTTTGCAGGCAGTAGTGGAATGTGTTCTGCATACCCAGGGAGAGATTCAGTCTGTGGCAGCTCTGTTAACACTCTCACATGGCTGAACCTGCGCTTGCTCCTCACCGCTGCCACCTGCTTGTCCACCTGCTTCTCTCTCTCAGCACGATCACTTTGGTAGTGAGGACAAGCAGCCATTACCACCACTGTCTGCCTGTTCACTGGCTTGCGGCAAGCTAGTGGTAGCAATGACAACAAAATGGCAGAGTCGCAACCACAGCTGGGTGCAGTGGTGTAAGAACGTGGGCTGGCTGAGGGAGTCCATTATAGGTATCTTGCCCTGAAGCCTTGTAAAATCCGGAGCTGGTATTGGCTTCCACTTAAAGAAGCTCAGGAACTGAAGATTAGAAAGACATTGGCCTCAGACTTGGAAGAACCACTGTCCATGGAACTAAGCAAGGCTGATCCAGATGGAGGAATGGTCTAAATTCTTAGAAGGCAGCTTCATCCTTTGGCTTTGCACAGGCAGGGAATAGTGGTGGGTTCACCAACCACGGGATACATTTTTGCTTCATGACATCTGACAGTTCTCTCTTTATGTGTGCAGGATCCAAATTACTGGATACAAGTACATCGTCTGGAGCATAGCGATGGCGGAATCCTTGACCGTGATGATATTCTCTGTGATGTAGCGGATGATAAAGACAGAGTAAGTATGACTGCTCAGAAGAGCAGAGTTCTTTGGCATATGAGCATCTAGATGTTTTCACTGCTGGGGCCGCTTATATAGCTGGAATTTTATGGGAGAGATGGGGCAGTTGGCAATCTCAGTATTTGGAACAAATAATTTCGGGGCTAGGAAGAAATCCATTTTTAAGACCATATTTTTCTGGCAATATAAGCACTAATTGCAGATCAGAGTTAGGAATAATATGAATAAGTAAAGAATGTGATCCTCCCTCTCTTATTTTTAGCAAGACAGAAAAGAGGCCAGGGGGAGGGAGCTAGTCCCGTAGCTGCAACTTTTCAAAGTGCAAGCTGTTAACAGAAGGGATAGGCATTGGATTTGGCCTGGCTTCTAAAAACGTGTGCATTGGCAGAATGTGCTATGATGCTTCTTTGGAAAGTCCTTTCATCTCATTGAGAAGAATCTTACATGATGAATACTTGGTGATGAATACTTCTACAATATCATCCAACAATTGTTCATATTCTAAATGTGGATTCTTTTGGAAGTGTTGACTGTTTTGGCAGGCATGTTTTCATCATTTTTGTTCAGTGGCATATGCACTGTTGCTTAACAATTTGAACTCCTTCTCGCTTTGCAGTTAGGTTTATTGGAACACTTGGACCAAGTTTGCACAGTCATAGAGGGAAAATAAGCGATGGTGGCTTAGCTTCTCTCCCCAGCATGCTGTCCATGATTAGAATCATTGCCTTCGCACAGTGAGGGCTTTTGTGGTATCTGGACTTGGTGTGGATGGGCATCCTGCTTTACAAACTATGCTTAAGTCTATGGGCTTTTCTGGGTCTCTTTCCTCTTGTTGCATTGTTGGTATAGATAGAAACTGAAATACTTTTACTAGTAAATGTATTCATCATTTATGTTACTTCAGGAAGCATTTTGACCTTTTAAAGATTGTAAGCAGTCTTAAGAAAGGGGCTGTTTTACTGCACTGTAAAAGCAGAATCCTGATCTGGTTTGGGATCCTAGTTTGGGGGGAGAGGGGTTTTTTTTAATATTAATAAAAAAATTCCGTGTGCCATGCACTCCAAATCATTACCCAAACCCCATGTGAAGAATTTTTAGTGTTTGATGGTGATCCATAGATCTTTATTTGATATTATAAAAACTGCAGAGGTGGGTTCCTTGATTGAGATTCTGGTTGCAGCAAATGGAAGAAGGGGTAAAGCCCTCCTTATCCATAGTGCACCCTGGTGTTTACACTGTGGCAAAAAGGAGAAAATGTAGTGTTTCCTTGGCCCCTGAGATAGAATTGGGGTGGGGTGAGAATAGCGACACCAGGTGCTTTCTCATTATAACAAGGTATGATTAAACATCTTTGATTTCAAGAAGTGTAGTGTGGAACAATAAATGAAGTACTTCTTCGTGGTCTCTGTGTATCACACACATAATGGGTACTGCGCCTGCGCAGAGCCTGATGCCAGTCAGAATACCCAAGCTGCAATGGTTTTTGGTGGGAACTCCGCACCCCTCCCCCTTGGTGCTTTATAAGGCGGAGCGCCCGCCATTTTCCTCAGTCTTCTTTCGACTGCTAATCGCATTGCCTCGAGCCATTACCTTGTCTTCTCGTATCTGTTTGTTCTAAATCGTTTTTTCTCCCAGTTCCATCCAAGTTACTTCTCCTTGTTTCCAGTTAATTCTTTCTTCTTCCTAAATAATAATAATAATAATAATAATAATAATAATAATAATAATATAGTTAGCATATTTCTTCTCTATCTTCTCTTACCTTGCTATCCCTTCAGCGATGGCTCAGCGTGCGGTGTTTCGAAAGTGTTCGAAATGCGGGGCTAAAATGTCCCCGGCGGACCCTCACGAGCTCTGCCTCCTTTGTTTAGGAGAAGGGCATCGCACAGATAAGTGCAGACATTGCCTGGCCTTTACCAAACAGGCCAGGAAAAATCGAGAGAACAGACTGAGAAAGATCCTCTGGGATCAAGCTTTGCAGGCCTCTGATGAGCTTGCCACTCAATCTATGTCGGCTGGGCCTTCCATGGTAACCTCCCCTCGACCATCCGGGGGAGCAGCTTCCGAGGAGATCTCTCGCTCCTCCCACTCCTTGCGCAAACAAAAGGAGAAATGGAAGCATTCCGACCTCGGGGATCTGTTGGTCCTGAAAAAGGCCAAAAAGGACAAGTTGGACAAGGCCACTAAGAAGCGCAGATCCACTCCAGAACCGCGAAGGGACTTGGACCCAACCGTCTTACCAGTCCCGACGACACCTTCAGTCCCGACAGCCTCGGCACTGATGCCAAGAGAAATGATGCAAGTTACACCGCTGGGATCTCCACAGAGGGTTGAGCCTGTGGACCCGATTATGCTACATCCACCCGAACTGATCGTTCAAGGGTCGAAGTCCGACGGGGAGATCCGTGATTCCCCCCCGAGGTCCTTGCCGTGCCGCCAACCGTCCCGTTCACCGACCCCAATGCCATCCTCCCCTGTGGAGTTATCTCCACCCAGGGACCTGGGTCGCCGGAGGAGTCCTACGCTAACTTCGTGGAGCTTATGGGCCGACTCACAAGAGGTTTGGAGATAGAGGTTGAGCATCAACCAAATACTAATAAGGACAACTTCTATGACATTGTCCGCAAAGAACAGTCATCGGCAATCACCATTCCATTGATTACGACTTTGCGGGAGGCTATGGAAGAGACATGGACCTTCCCCGACCAACCTCAGTCGACCTTGCGGAGGTATGAGTCCATGTACAAGGTCAGAGAACAGGACATCCCCTTCCTTCTGCGACACCCAAAGCCCAATTCGATTGTGGTCGGATCATCTCAAGGGCGGGACAATAGAGAACACTCGGCCCCCAAGGATAGAGAAGGGCGGAAAATCGACCTCATGGCGAGGTGAATTTACGCAGCAATGGGACTGGGCCTGAGAATTTCAAATTACGAAGCAACAACAGCGAGGTACCAGTACTTTCTGATGCAGCGACTGAACTCAATTACCTCGTCCATCCCAGAACAACAACGTGATCTCACCCATGTTTTCATTCGAGAGGCGATGCAGCTGGCGATACAGCAGCTCACCACAGCCCGCCAGCATGTTGACTGCGATTCTCGCACCCTCGTGGGCTCGGTTGCTCTCCGGAGGCATGCCTGGCTAAGTTCGTGCAACTTCCCGGAAGAAACTAAGAAATGGATGAAGGAATGCAGTTCGATGGTTCCGGCCTCTTCCATGATCGGACGGACCACAAGCTGGAGCATATCTATAATGCTCGAGCCACCACCAGGAAAATGGAAATCCCTGGCTTGAACCGTCATAAGTGGCAGCAGCCTAGATATCATAGATACCAGCCATACCATCAGTACCAGCTGCGCTAGCAACAGTTCCCTCAGTGGCAACAGCGAAACCGCTCACAACCGGCTGCCCAATATCAACAGGGCCGCCGTCGCCAGCAGCCGATAAGAGGCAGCGTTGACGGGCACTGCGAACCCATCTTCTCTCTCCTTCTACACCCCTCCCCCCTCCCCCCTTTGTAGCCGGCTCCCTCTTTGGGAGACCATCACATCTGACAAATGGGTCCTTTCCATAGTTGAATCTGGAAACAGAATCGAGTTTGATGTCGTTCCTCCTTTGGGACCGATCTCATACACCGCACCATCAAAAATCCTTAGAGAAGAAGTATCTCAGTTACTCCAGAAGGGAGCAATACGCCAAATTTCGCACTCTGATGGACTCTGCAGTTTTGACTCGAGATATTTCACGGTACCAAAGAGAGATGGTGGCTTACGCGCCATACTCGATCTAAGAGGCGTTAACACCTTTATCACGACTAGAAAATTCCGTATGACCACCCTACAAGACATTCTTCCCCTGCTAGAGAGAGATGATTGGTTCGCGTCTATTGACTTGAAGGATGCCTATTTTCAGATCGGCATCCACCCATTTTTTAGGAGGCTTCTCCGATTCACTGTCCGTCCTGACATTTTTGAATATAATGTACTTTCGGACTTGCCACAGCCCCTAGGGTATTCACAAAATACATGGCTCCAATATGTGCTCACCTTTGCCAATGAGGACTCCAAATTTACCCATATTTGGACGACTGGCTTATAGTTTCTTCTTCTCGGGACCGACTTGTAGCAGTTGTTCACGCCACGTGCACTCTTCTGGAAGACTTGGGACTCCTTATTAATACTGAGAAATCCTGTCTCACTCCTTCACAGGTCATCGAGTTTATAGGGGCACAACTCAATTTGGTTCGAGCCCGGGCATATTTACCATGAACCCGTATGGACAGACTTTGCTCAATAGCCCGTCGGGTCCAAAGAAGCGGATGGGTTCAGGCATTACTCATACAAAAACTGTTGGGCCATATGGGATCCACAGTTGTCATAGTTCCCAATGCCAGACTTCAAATGCGGCCACTTCAGCTGTGGTTTAACGTGGCCTTTCAGCCCCTCCACAATTCGCCAAGACGGCTTCTTCTTCCACCCACTTCAGTTCGCCAGATGCTAACTTGATGGATGGACCTGGAAAATCTCACATTTGGCATCCCATTTCACCAGCGACAGCCTTCCATCTCGCTCCACACCGATGCGTCCCTCACAGGAAGGGGAGCACACTGCTCCAACTTATGGACACAAGGCACCTGGCAAGCACACGAGAGAGTAAATCACATCAACTTCCTCGAGTTGCTGGCAGTGTTCAAAGTGCTACGATCGTTCGAGCCCACGCTTAGAAACTGGTCAGTACAGGTAGCCTCTGACAACACGGTTACCGTATTTTACCTGAACAAACAGGACGGTACAAAATCGGTACCGCTAGCTCAGCTATCCATGCAGATATGGGATTGGTGTATCCCCAGGGGGGTTTCGCTAACTGCAATCCATCTTGTGGGGATTCACAACCAGGAGGCAGACACCCTGAGCAGGAAGATGTCGTCAACCCACGAGTGGGAACTGGACGATCAAGTGTGCAGAGATGTTTTTACCCGGTGGGGTACCCCGACT